ACATTCTGTCCGTAGCCGAACACCATATTGACCACACCGTTGGGCACACCCGCCTCCTCCAGCAAATGACACAACTTATAGGCGGTCACTGAAGTCATTTCGCTGGGTTTGGCCACAACGGTGTTTCCGTAGGCCAGTGCCGGCGCCAACTTGAATGTCAACAGATATATGGGTAGATTCCATGGCGTTATAATACCGGCCACTCCTATGGGCTCCTGTGTCTCGTAGTTAATGACACCCGACTCCGGATCCGTTATGGATCTAATGGATTGCAAATAATTAGTAAATAATAATAAATGAATACATGTTTGACTCACATATTTGTATCGTATTGTAAACTATTAGCAAAATGTCTGAAATTAAGTGCCGCGCGAGGGATGTCCACTGTGTTGGCCAACCAGAGAGGCTTTCCCTGATCTATGCTCTCGAGGTTTGCCAACTCCATGGCATTCAACTCAATAAGAACTGCCACTCGATTGAGAAGTGCGGCCCGATCTGAGGCACTAGTTTTGGACCAACTGTTCAAACAAATATTTCGCATCAAATGTTCATTTTATTTATGAGTTCCCGACAGACCTTTCAAACGCCTTTTTCGCGGCCAATACGGCTCTATTGACATCGTCTTCATTGCTGTCGGGTATGTATGCATTGACACGATTGAGGGCCGGGTTATAGCTATTGAAATATGGCAACCTAAAGAGTTTGACCGGCAGCTATATCAAAACCTGAAGATATCAGAAAAGTATTGTTTTACGAAAGAATAAACTACGGTAATAACTTTAATTAAATTATATGAAAAAACCGAAATTACTACGAGAATGAGAGGTATGGCAACAAACTTGTTGTTCAAAATGAATAATAAAATATCAGTTTATACTATTTATAATGTGTTTATCGTTAACTATAATTTAAAATAAATGTATTTATATTCTGTGAACCATTAGCCGAGTGAGTGCTCTCGACATCCTTGAGCTTTAGACCCATTTATTGATAGAATTGCGATAAGAATTAGTTATAAGAAAATACTATACATTTTTATCAATTGTGAGCTATTTTGTAATATTGCTTTTGTATGGAAACACCATCAGAAAAAGTTATTTTTCAAGACCGTATATATTTTTATTTTATTAAAACATTTCATATATTAAACTATTGGTTGAGATAACATTATTCTGGTGGTTGAGAAGTGATGTTCACGAGTGCACCGTATGGCTAACCCTTAGGTAAACAACTTGACACTACAGTATAGTTAGTTTTAATATACTACATATTTGAACAAAATATAAATACATTTTAATTTTTATTATTTAACAATTTGCAAAATTGTTATCTATTCAATATCTTTATCTCTAAATCTTTTCAATGACAGCGAAAGTTAATGTGAACTCATTGTGAAAAGTAATGGACAACATTACTTGAATGATAAACTATGCCAATTTTACGTAATGTTTTATAATCAGAGTTTAGTTGTATTACTTTATTCTTGATTTATTATATCTAATTCTGTTATAAATAATAATAACTTGTAAAGGCAAATAAATAAATATTTTAAATTAAATTGAGTGATAAGAATAAGAATATATTTAATTAATACACTTATATTTAATAGTTGTTAAAGGTTAACATGTTATACTAAAAAACCTAGATTTCCTTGCTCTTTCTAAAACTAATGCCATTTCTATAAACATAAATATTTGAATTTAAATCCAATCGATTAAATAAACTTGGTTTGTATTGACGTTTATCAGTGAGAGTTGGTTTACGAATAATATAACTACTGATGAAAAACTTGATAAACATTACAAAATATAACAAATACATGGCGGCGCCCTGGCAGTGGTGAGCATGCCTGTGTAGCGTGTCTGAAAGTAGTCAATCAGACTCGACTTCCCGGGCATACAACTGCATATCCGGCTGTTTGTAAACACACTAGACATCATTACATTACCAAAACCGGACATGTCGGGCCATTTGTATGCGACAGGCTTTCAGCGCATAGTATGTGTACATCAGACTTACCTACCTGTGTAAGTACCGCTGGTAGGTAGCGCTACACCTGCCCTACAGACTCATCTGCTTGGTGCTCATCGTATCTCACTCCCACACTACTTAGGTTACTTCAGAATAATTGCCGACAAAACGGAGTACTATAAACATAGTGTCTCCCAATTCAACCACTTTTGATATGACAAAAGCCCAGTACCAGAATAGCACCCGTATGTCCTACCCATTCAGGTGCGAAAATAATTATTTAAAAGTTTCTAAATGCTTAGTTTTATAACTTTACTAAATATTTGTTTCAAGTGAATTCTTATAAAGCAGTAAATATTTGATAAGTAAACATGTTTTTAAAAATATTTTTTGAAAACAATGGTTATTTTTCATGATAGTCTGAAAGTCCTTATATGGTATAGACTCACGCTTAACGTAATGCACCTGTACTTTCATTTTTATTTATAAAATATACTAAATATTAATTTATAAAAGAAATGTATATTAAATGATTTCAATGACAATATGAGTGATAAAATTATTTATTTGTATTAAAACTGATGTATAATTCATACTTTACTTACGTTTGGAGTATTATCCTACTTAATGTCTTCCTAACTCACTTCGGAAACCAGTTATTCAATAGGTACTTAAGTCCGTTTGTAGACTACCGTCGCCACTAACTTTTATCCCGATTGGGACTATTCCATACGATTAGCACATGTCGTAAACTGAATGGCTTTCGGCTATTCATGAGATTCTTGAGCACATGTATCACCAGAATATAAACAATGCTAATGAATAGCGAGTAATGCCAGTGCTCTCGGAGCCACACCAGTCGGTGCGGATGCGAGTGACGCTTCAACACGAGTTTGAAATTCCGTTTGCCTTACGGTCTCTTAACCGTGGTTAAACACCTGGTTAATACGGTAAGTATACTATTCATAACGGTGGCAAATACACAGAGTTATCGTAAGTTAAGTACTTCAATTTGTGACATTTTGTAATCAATTAAATTAAATTATAATTATAAGCAAAATTGTTTTACACTTATATTAAATTAATCTTTAAACAAAAATTATGTATTTTAAAACTAATAATATAAGTTTGGTTTGGTTGTTTAGTTGAGACAAAAACTTTGGCGATAAAAATTGTTTAAAGTTTATATGATTTATATATTGTGTCGATGTTTTTTATGGTTATAATAAAAAGTTTAATATTTTTTATTTTATGATTTAGCAGACAATTATAGATCTAATAAAGTGTTCAAAGAAGTTGTGCTCAAACTTTAAGGCAAACGGAATGCCAGAGAATTGGCACCAATTTGTGGACCAATTATGCCATTCATATGATAAGTATTGCCACCGTTTATGTGTCTCAATAGCATTCAATTCATGAACAATTTGTGACATTTTGTAATCAATTAAATTAAATTATAATTAGAAATTGTTTTACACTTATTAATAAATTAATCGTTAAACAAAAATTATGTATTTTAAAACTAATAATATAAGTTTGGTTTGGTTGTTTAGTTGTAACAAAAACTTTGGCGATAAAATTTGTTTAAAGTTTATATGATTTATATATTGTGTCGATGTTTTTTATGGTTATAATAAAAAGTTTAATATTTTTTATTTTATGATTTAGCAGACAATTACAGATCTAATAAAGTGTTCAAAAGCAGTCATTTGATGCAAACTTTTATTACAAGTTTAAGACCAATAACAGGAAAAGTGGAATATTCTCAAGAAATACCCATAATTTATATATTGCCTGAGAAGGGAGTTTATAAAACTTATTATAACTTTAACATTCATATACAATGTATTAACTTGCTATGAATAAAATATAGCATAGCATCGTGACGTCAATCACAAACACATATAACACACAAATTCATTGAAATAAAAGTATAAATAAAACAAAAGAGCAAATTCTGTAATTTTCACATACAATATATGACTTGAATTTATTTACGCTCAAGAGCTATATGAATGACTACACAATAGTTTGGGTATAAAAAGCAAAAACATAAGACAAAAGTGAATTATCGGTTGGAAATTGAATTTTGAATATTTTGCTATAAATCACACGAATAAGTGAACGAAGTTTTCGGAGGACTTTTAAAATCTCCTTTTTTTATTACTTTGTGTTTATAGCAGATGTACTGAACAAATGAGAAACTGAGCAATATATAAATTTATTTATAAATATATTTATGAAATCTAATATCACACCGAATTGATATAAGAAATATATTTACATAGTAATCACGTAATAATTCAAGTTTTTGTGAACATTTAATAAACCATTGGATTGCTATCGTGAATGATACAATAAATTGTTTCCATTATTATTATAAGTTAAGCAAAAAAAGTATCAGGTTTCTTACGAAACTCACAAAAATATTAATAAAGATATGCAGACATATCATAACTGAAGGGCAAACACTTGAATTATGAAAATAAAATAACTTTCAACTGCTTATCAAAAATCATATTTTCGTAGAAATAGCCTAAAATCCATTAACATAAACAGTTTATAACACTTCTGTGAATCTTAAAATATTTTGCATTTTTGAATTATTAAATTCAATGATCTACAATACCTTGTCCACTCTTTGTAACAAAGTTATACATGTAATATGAAAATGATATCTTTAAACAAGCATTAAACGCACATATATTTTCATGACCACCAATAGATTTGATAGTTTATTATAGCTATAAATGTAAATATATATCCTCTTCGAGCTAATAATCACTCGACTGTAACAATAGATTTACTTTCATTTGTAATCTCTTCAGGCATTGCGTAAGAGATGTCCAATATTTGTAAGATATTTACGAAATAAGTGACCTCTTATTGCTAAACACACTAAATATAGCTTTTATTATTTAATATTTAAATTCTAGCATCTCAATATTTTAATTAGCATAATAAACAATATGTTTACAAAATCAATTAACCTTATAAATGATTTAATAAAAACAAAAATCAAATATATGAATACAAGAATATATGAATTGATACAACAAAATGTGCGCAAAATCGGTGATCATTTGAAAGACAGAGATTAGCCCTTATTTGAAGAGCGCATGGGATGTCAGTCTGAGATGAATTGAATAGAGTTTTGTTCATAACTTTTGCTTAAAATGCTTTCATCTGAACGCCAGACAAGTAGTCGTCCCACCGATCAGTCTGTCCTCTAATGCCTTCAGATTGCCATTAAGTGGAGAACAGGCCGCGAGTTTTGACTGATATATCGTGTCGTCTGCTCTTTGTGTGAGATGTGATGAAACACTACTCTAATCATCGTTTCAAACAATAATTTGGACTCAAATAAAGAAATATACGAATTATATTCAATACGCTATGATTGATGGAAATCTTATACGAATTTTGCAATTTGTATCAATTCGTCAAATATTAATGAAAAAGGGACTCAATTCTGGCTTTTCTTTTCAAATCATTCATTGAATTAATTTTTGTTGTAAAGGCAAAAATGCCATAAATGAAACATAAAGTAAAAGCTTAATAAAAGTTCTTTGAATTTGTTTTAATAAAAAAAGTTTTTGTGACAACATTTTCAAGTTTATTAACTGCTCATAAAAAAATGTAAGATAAATATAAACGAAATTACATTTATTACATAATATATTTTACCCTTAAATACCGGCAAACAGAGGAAACAGAATAATAATAATAATAATAATAATAATGGAAAACAACATAACATTAGAGGAATTCAGAAATAAAACAATTTTCGACAGAATTCAAGACACAACAGAATTATCGACTTATTGTCTGAAAGTAGTTTTGATGGCAAAACAAAAGGGCAAAAGTGTTGAACACAAAATTGATGGTCAGTTGTCGCCACACGAGGAATGTATCAGCTATTTGAGGACATATAACCAGACAATACTGATCCAATTGATCAAAGAGTTCAGCCATAAGTGGAGCAATCAGTCACTGTCTGACGGAACCATCGGTGAAACGGACACCACCGCTGTACCAGACTTTCCATTTGTCAACGACTGGTATGTGGTATTGATTTGGTCCCTGATATTTGGCGTAATGGTGTTGTTGGCAATATTTGGCAATTCACTGATAATATGGTGTGTTTTGCGACAAAAAGTGATGCGAACCGTAATCAACATATTTCTACTGAACCTCACGCTCTCCGATCTGTTGACCGTCTCATTCAACGCGACATTCAAAAAAATTCTTGAGAGTCAGTGAATGTGTTAATTGACATAAAACTCATGCCATTGAGTAATACATTACATATCAATATAATCACAAATCCTTAATTGATTTAAAAATATAAACAAACTCATAATTTCGAAAAAACATATTATATATATTTTCTATATATAAAATAAATTATTTTTATCATAACCTGATAGTAAGATGAAAGTGGGCGACCCCTCGGACAACGACACCCTAATCGGGCCAATGATTAGCGAAACACATCAGCAAAAAGTATTGAAATATATTGAGTTCGCGCGCAAAGACGGCGCAACCGTTACGTCCCAACCCATGAATTTGTCGCCAGACCTCCAGACGGGGTATTACGTGAGTCCGACCGTCATTACGGACGTACCAAAAAAGTATTGAAATATATTGAGTTCGCGCGCAAAGACGGCGCAACCGTTACGTCCCAACCCATGAATTTGTCGCCAGACCTCCAGACGGGGTATTACGTGAGTCCGACCGTCATTACGGACGTACCGGACAGTAGTGTCTGTATGAAAGACGAGATCTTCGGACCCGTCGTATGTGTCGTGCCCTTTGATACGCAACAGGAGGTCATCGATAGGGCCAATGACTCGCCGTACGGACTGTCAGCCAGCGTGTGGTCATCCCGTGTGGATCGGGTCCATAGTGTGGCCAATCGGCTCAAAGTGGGCACTGTTTGGGCCAACTGTTGGCTCGTCCGCAATCTCAATATGCCATTTGGTGGCCATAAACACTCGGGCACCGGGAGGGAGAGTACTGCCGACTCCAGAGAGTTCTATACGGAAAAGAAGTCTATTTGTCTTAAACTTAATAATTATTAGTTTTAGTTAAATGAGATTTTTAAAAATAAATAAATTGAATTTGATTATTTTTACAAATTATTATAAAAAGTTGTGCACAATTTTTAATTTGATATTAAATGTTATTAATTTCTTACGAGTTAGTATTATGGATTCAAAACTATAATATTAATAATTAGTAGGTATAACTATAACTTCTGTACAGTACTGTACTGTATAATACATTATAAGTTTTATAGACTTACCTGGTATTTTAAGTGGGTAAAATATTTCGTTTAGAATAGATAGTAAAGAATTATTAATTATTATTTGAAAAGAATTGACATATTCATTTATGATTTCACATTTAATAGATATTTAAATATTTTATAAGTTATTTATAAACAAAATGAACATTTTAAAAGTATATTAAGACTCTCAAGAATCACAGGTTTTATTTCATAACCAACACAACTAATCGATAATAGGCATAAAGTAGTGGAGTATACGGTATAATATCATAGTTCTAGTAAAGTACAATACTTATACATATAGTATTATTTATCAGATTCGGTACTGATTTGCACTACACCATAGTTTTATATAATAATTTATATTTTAATGATCACAATAGTACATATAGTGCAAAAATTACATAATCAACTCATATAAGAATCCTGTAATAAAATCAACACAATTCACGGGTGCGTTGAGTATTTCAAGTGCAATATTATCACCATATGATTACCTGTATATTGCAATGTCTTTACATTTGCTCTACTTTTATAATACTTTCGAAGAAGTAGAAAGTTTAATATACAGTACTTACCGGTATTATATATTGATTTCAATTAAAATACAGGTACGGTACATCATGTCACTTATGTATACCGTAATATTGTATAGTCAAATGAAATGTAATAAAAAAAGTCGATAACAAAAAAGAGCAAATATTTTAGTACTTTTTACCAATAAGAGTGAGTGTAGTAATATTGGCATTGTGCTAGATTTGATATTTGACATTTCATAATTATTCTCGTACTAAGATTGAAGTTTATTTATGTATTATTTACACTTATAGTACCAGTGTAATTTGTGTGCCAGTATACAACTAATAGTGTGATAAGAATAGAATTCTCTCTGTTAAAGGACACAATGTCCTAAATCTTATCGTAAATTCGGAGTACTTATTACATGAACTCATTTAATCCATGAATGACTAAAGAATTAAATTATTTTATTTGTATTTGTAGGATATTATCAAAAGATTTATATTGTTACATTAGAATATAATTTATTGCATATAAACAGAGAGACAATCAATTGAGAGATAGTTAAGAATATTCTGTTGAGCAGTGATTTTAAATATTTTTATAAGTAGTGTAAAAATTATACGGTATAAACTTTTTACGAAAATGAGTCAGGATCAAACAGTGATTGACTTTAATAAGAATAATATAATTGGTTTTATGAATTCAAGTGTACATCCAATTGATGATCAAATTATTATGAATCAACAAATTAAAGGTATTCATGGAAATGGTACGGAAACCAAAGTCCCATATCCGGTGAATATTTCGTGGCATAACATCAATGTGTTTAGCAAAAAGACCCGAAGAATACCACTTCCGTTTCGTAAGGATAAAGACAAACCGAGTGTTCATATACTCAAAAATGGTACAAAATATAACTTAAGATAATTAATTAAAGATATTTTTTAAAATTATATATTATACTTAATAAATAATTTATTTGTATGCAATTAATAGTTAGCGGACAGGCCAAGAGTGGACAGTTATTAGCGATTATGGGCTCCAGGTATGGGTTTTAAAATTTATTAAAATATGTTTGTTAATTTATTGTAATGATGAAATTAGTAAAATAATTTACATATTGTTATTAACAATAACTTCAGGTAATATAGGAATAAAAATTATAAATAGATTTTAATATATATAATATACTACTGAGTATATAATATATGTTTTATTATTCTATTAATAAATTATTAAGATAATTAATTTATTAATAGAATAATAAAATCTATTTATATTAAGATAGTTAATTAATAATAACAGTAGCTGAATAATAAGTTTAAAAATTTTATCTTATAACAAATTATTTTGTTAAACATTTACTATCATTAATATACTTGCCAGGTGATAAATTTAACAATTCAATTGTAAACTAACTATTTTGATGTCTATGTAGTGGCGCCGGAAAGACAACTTTAAATAATGTGTTGACACAAAGAAATTTATCGGAAGTGGATGTTCAGGGATCTGTCAAATTGAATGGCAAAATAGTGGACTCAAATGACATGAAATCCCTGTCGGCTTACGTACAACAGGAGGACATATTCATCGGTAACCTAACGGTTGGCGAACACATGAGGTTTCAGTCACGCGTTCGTATGGATCAGTCTATGTCTCAAGAAGTCAGAGAAAGTCGTGTCAAACAAGTCTTACAAGAAGTAAGTATTTAATATAATTATATTAAAGCATTTTAGTTATTAATTATTAAATTTATAATAAACAGTTAGGACTAACCAAATGCATGAACACTAAGATCGGAGCACCGGATGGAGAGAAAGGTATCTCCGGAGGAGAGAAAAAGAGATTAGCCGTCGCTTCGGAAGTAACTATTATTTAAGAGATTTGTTGTATTGATGTCTAACTATTATATCAAACATTTATAGCTATTGACGAATCCATCGATTCTATTCTGTGACGAACCGACCTCTGGTTTGGACTCATATATGGCTTTAAATGTTGTGGAAGTCCTCAGAGATATGGCACAAACGGGACGGACTATAGTTTGTACTATACATCAGCCCTCGTCCGAAGTGTTCGCACTTTTTACTCAATTACTACTTATGGCCGACGGAAGGGTCGCTTATTTGGGCAGATCAGGTCAATATTCAGTTATTTATGATATTTAAAAATTAATTATAAAATAATTTTTTAAAAATATTATAGAGAATGCAATCGAGTTTTTCTCAACACTTGGCCTCCAGTGTCCAAATAACTACAATCCCTCCGATTTCTATATAAAACAATTGTCTGTTATTCCCGGCAATGAAATTGAATCCAAACAAAAGCTGAATGTTAGCAAACTTAGTTTAAAACATATTTAACATAACATTAATTATTATTATTTAAAAATAATTACAGAATATATGCGATCGCTTTCTGGAGAGTACTTTCTCTAAATTAGCACTTCCGCTGCCGTCCATTGGAAATAATGATCATTTTAAGATCCAGACTAAAACAAGTAATTCAATTTACAAAACCAATTGGTTTGTACAGTTTTGGGCACTCCTATGGCGGGCAGCATTGGCCGCAATTAGGGAACCCATGTTAACCACTGTTCGTTTGGGACAGACTGTCGTAAGCATTGTTTCAGAAATATATTATAGTCTAATAAATATTTTAGATTATTTTAAATATATTATTTCGTGTAATCACCAAAACACCAGATACTGGCCGTAGTATTTGGACTAATCTATTGGCAGTTGGATGTGAATCAGGCGGGGATTATGGATATAAACGGCGCTCTCTTCCTATTGATAGCAAACATCACTTTTCAAAACATCTTTGGAGTCGTCACTGTAATTAACATATCAAACAAATTTAGTAAATTGTTTGCAAATAATTATATTATTTTATTTTAACAGACCTTTTGCATAGAATTGCCTGTATTTCTAAGAGAGCACAATAACGGCATGTATAGAGTGAGCGCCTACTTCTTGTCCAAGATATTGGCTGAGGTATGTTTGCCATACAATTTCTATTTATAAATCTATATAAATGTACAATTTTAATATTTATAATATTTATTATTTATATCCAGTTGCCATCCTTTATGTTCAATCCATTACTATATGTCTCTATATTTTATTGGATGGTTGGTCTCAACAGCGGAATCAAAGAGTTTTGCATTTGTGTCGCTATTTGTCTATTAGTGGCCGACACTGCCTGTAGTTTCGGTAATAATACGATTCCTATTATAAAATTGATAAGACATAACATAAACAAAGATTAATAATACATCAATTATTAGGGTATTTGGTGTCGTGTATGAGCAGTGGCATAACAATGGCCCTGACAATTGCACCGACCATCATAATGCCCATGATGATATTCGGTGGCTTTTTTCTAAATAATGAGTTAGTATTTAACAATTCATATGATTTTCAGATTGTAATCTTTAATGATTGTATGTATGTATAGCTCAATACCCGTGTATTTCGTGTGGTTTAAATACATTTCGTGGTTTTATTACGGCAACGAAGCCCTGTCTATAAACCAATGGAAAAGTATTGATCACATCGACTGCGAGTTTAAGATGCCTACAAACCAGACAATTATGACTCCCTGTACACCAAATGGCAAAGTAGTGATCGAGACATTGAACTTCAATGAAGACCATTTGCTCAGAAATATCCTGCTATTAGTGGTCCTCTCGTTTGCGGTCAGATTCTTGGCTTTCATTGCGCTTTGGATCCGTTCTTTGAAACGATAAATATTTTTATTTTTAACAAATATTAATTTTTTATTTATTTAAATTACTTTGTAAATATTTTTTAAAAATTAATTTTTCAAAGCACCTGTGATTTAGTGTAGAATTAGCCAGAATATTATACATTACGTTATATGCTTTATACAGAGCAGTTATTTATTTTCTGGCATTTTACTTAAAATTATAAAGACTACCGGTATTACTGTAATGACTATTCACATTATACATTAGTACAGTTATTTAATGTTTGTACTTAAAAGTTTATTTTAAAATATTATTTTTACAGTATTAGTTTATTAACCATAAATTGAGTTAAATTATTTGTCATGTTTCAGTTAATTTAAGTACTAAAATATAAAATATTGTAATTAAATTTCATATAATCTAAAACATCCTTATATTTAACATGTAAATAAATTTATATTCTGGAATATTATTATTAATACTAATAATTTAATAATTTTACTAATGACCTTTGTAATTACTAAATACATTGTTATAAGTTATAAATTTAATTTATTTTACTGATGAAACGTAAATATTATATTTCTGAATAATAATACTGTATTAAATAATTGAATTATATAATAAAAATCTTTTACTATTAATATTTAAATGTATATTGTATGAAGGTAAACTATTAGCTGCACTAATTATATAATATAATAGATATGAGTTTATCATTAGGTAAGCAAACAATTTGTTTAGTGCACATAGTATTCTATAAATTTATAATAATAATGCTTATATTTATGCTTATTGTAAATCACGTACAGTAAACTCATTTTATTCTCAATCTGGCCAAAAACTAGCCTATATTCATTATAGCCTATGGGCTATAGCATTGGGTTCCAAATATTTAAATCACCTAAAAATAGGGATGTATTAACTTAATAAACTTATAAATGTTTCACAGCACTACTTATTTATTTTCATTATAAACTTAATAGCAATTTTTATTTTATAAACTTGATGGTGTGTTTATTTTATATTAATGAATCAATGATTTATAGATTTATAGGATCTTATTCATATTTGAAAATTGTTTACTATTGTATTTATGACTGTTTATCATTGAATAAGTAACTAGTGTTGAAAATACATATTTATTTTCTTTAGTCAATACATCACTAGTTGTAATAATTTGTAATACATGGAACTGGCTGGGCTATAGGCTACTTTTGGCCAGATTGAGAATAAAATGAGTTTACATACCTGTAAGATAAGCAACACCTAATACGATAACTCTACTATTATAGTACTATATTGCATAATATTGCTTTTCTACCTATGGATTCACATGAATTTGAGATAAGATGTAATTATGACGTCAAATTTTTTGGAGTTTATGTTTATTCTGTAAAATTCAAGTATATAAATATCACAGGATCTCACACCTCAATATTAATTGAATCTTAGTTATGTGAATGATATTTTGAAAAATTTGATTTATAAAATTGTCAAAATGAGTAAAGAATTGGATCAAAGAGTAGACAATTTTTACAATCAAAAGCCGATTCTTCAAAGGCTTGACAACCAATATATCTCTTAAGTTTATACGATAGGCGCTCATTGGGATAGTCGATATTAATCGAAACCTGTGCTTTTCAATCATATACTACTTGCTAAAGGTATCGATATCGACTATCTATACTTTCCACAATGATGCCCTATCGTTAAAAGTTAAGAGATATTTGATTGAGGTTTATGTTGTCACAAGAAAACATTGTCATAACAATAAAATTTAACTTTTAAACTCACAATTTGCGACACAATTTGACCGATTATTGTGTTCGGTATTATATGCGGACAAAATTGCAATTATTGTTTCGGACAGTAATTATCTCTGTCCTTCATCAGAGACCTTCATCATCTTGTCCTTCATCATCTATTGCCTAAACAGACCAAAAGTACTGTCAGTTATAGATAGTGATTGATTGCGCTGATGAAGGACAGAGATAATTACTGTCTGAAACAATAATTGCAATTTTGTCCGCATATAATACCGAAGACAATAATCGGTCAAATTGTGAGTTTAAAAGTAAAATTTTATTCTTAAACCAATATATTATTAATACTGACCATCAGATTAAAGTAATGCCAATGACTGGCAAAATAAGTAGTGTTTCCCAACCGGTGTCCATATCGTGGCATAACATCAATGTCTTCAGTAAACCCTCGACTGGAATACGATTGCCGTTTAGAAAGAAAGACGATTCCAGTGTTCATATACTCAAGAATGGTATGAAAATTATTAAAATTTTATTATTAGCTAACTTTTGTCTTATTATAATTAATGTCATTTAATTATTTTAGTCAGCGGTCATGTAAATAGTGGACAGTTGTTGGCAATTATGGGATCTAGGTAAGAATTAATTTTTTATGCAGTTTGTTTTATCAAATAATTTGGAAAGGAATTAAGAAAAAATTGTAAAACATGTTTAAATTTTTATTCTGCATAAAAAATCATATAATTAGCAAAATTACTTTTAACTGTTAAGTTAAAATTGATAACTTAATAATTGAATACCAATTAAAGTATTAATACTGATGTTTGTGTGGACCCAATAGCGGCGCCGGCAAAACCACTCTAATGAATGTATTGACACAAAGAAATTTATCAGACGTTAAAGTGAACGGTTCGGTCAAATTGAACGGCAAAATCATGGACTATAATACCATTAAATCCCTGTCGGCTTACGTACAACAAGACGACATGTTTATCGCAAACATCACAGTTAGGGAGCACTTGAAGTTTCAGTCACGCGTTCGTATGGATCAGTCAACGACCCTTAAGTTTAGGGAAAGTCGTATTCATCAAGTCTTATTAGACGTAAGTTTACCATCACAATGTATTTTTAATCAATGTATTTATTATCTATAATAATTAATTAGTTGGGACTAAACAAATGCGCCGACACTATGATAGGGGCTCCGGAAGTGGAGAAAGGCATATCTGGTGGCGAAAGAAAGCGATTATCAATTGCTTCCGAAGTATTACATAAAATCATACATTAAATGAAGAAATTGTCTAAACTATAAAATTGACAAACAATTAGTTATTAACGGACCCATCGGTTATGTTTTGTGACGAACCGACCTCAGGGTTGGACTCATTCATGGCTCAGAACATAATGGATGTGTTGAGAGAGATGGCAGCCTCGGGACGGACTATGATTTGCACTATACATCAGCCCTCGTCTCAAGTGTTTTCAATGATCGATCAATTGCTGCTTATGGCTGAGGGAAGGATAGCTTTTATGGGACAGACAGGTATCATATCAATAATTATTCCTTATTTACTGTTAATGTATGCTTTATATTATATAAGAAAATATTGTTTTACAGGAAAAGCGGTTGAATTTTTCGGGAGTTTGAATATGTTGTGTCCAAATAACTACAATCCCTCTGATTTCTATATCAACCAATTGGCTGTCGTTCCCGGCAATGAAATTGAGTGCAGAAAACAGATAAATGTCTGTATTATATTAGCTAAATTATATTAAATTGAGATTTTTTATATAATTTGATTCAAAATTAACAGAATATATGCGACCGATATTTGGAGAGTAATTATGCAAAGGAAGCACTGCCTCAACAAACTAGTCATACGAATCACAATGACTTTCAACTGGAAAGCAATTCTGCAAATTCTGTGTATAAAACCAATTGGTTTATACAATTTTGGGCACTTTTCCAATCCCGATTGGAATGACACTAATCTCTTGGTGTTAATTGATGATAGTCTCAGCAAGTCTGTCAACATTCATAACTATGAACAAATCAAATATGGTAATAAATTATGAATTTTTCGATTAATATATTTACATTGTAGGTACTATCGGTGATATTTGGCTTAATTTATTATCAATTAGAGGTGAACCAAATAGGAATCTCTAATATAAACGGCGCTCTCTTTCTGTTAGTAAATAACATGAACTTTCAGAGTCTCTTCGGTGTCGTTAACGTAAGCAATAATTTATAAACAATTAATTTTAATCTGTCAAATAATTAATTTTAATCTGTCAAATAATTAATTTTAATCTGTCAAATAATTAATTTTAATCTGTCAAATAATTAATTTTAATCTGTCAAATAATTAATTCTTATTATTTGCAGGCATTTTGCGGAGAATTACCGATATTTCAAAGGGAACACAATAACGGCATGTATAGAGTCAGTGCATATTATTTGGCAAAACAGTTGGCCGAGGTTTGTCACTCAATATTTACAATATATATCATATAATCATAACTAATAGTAATTATAAATTTTTATGAACCTAATACACAGTTACCTACATTCACAATCGGTCCCATTATATTTGTGGCTATATTTTACTGGATGGTTGGTCTTAACCACGGTGTCGAGCAGTTCTTGCTGTGTGTGTTGATCTGTGTGATGACTGCCCTCAGCGCCACCAGTTTTGGTATATTATACACGAATTGATTTGAATAAAATTTAATTTAATCATTGTTTTATAAATTAATTGATATGTGCAGGCTATTTGGTGTCGTGTAATCTGTGTGATGACTGCCCTCAGCGCCACCAGTTTTGGTATATTATACACGAATTGATTTGAATAAAATTTAATTTAATCATTGTTTTATATTAATTAACTATACACGTCCGATAAACCACAGCACATACTCATCAAGACATTGCTACCGGGATAGTAACCGCGGAGGGAAAAACGACGGTGAGTACTATAAACCTCCTAAAAAAGACTTATCGCCCACAGAACTGATGATTCTGTGGTTCATTTCAATTGACTTTATTTGAATAATTTGTTTATTATTTGTGTGCATTTATAATATATAGTTCAATCCCGGTGTGGCTGGACTGGATCAAATACATATCAATGTTTTATTACAGCAACGAAGCGCTCATCATAAATCAGTGGCGAGACATCGACCACATAGACTGTCCATCAAACGGGACAATGTGTGCCCCTAATGGCAAAGCAGTCATTCAGAGCCTCAGCTTCAATGAGGACCACTTCTCCAGAGATCTACTCATGTTATTGACGCTCACTATTGTCGTCAGAATTCTCGCATTTCTCGTACTTCTCCTTAGATCCAGAAGACGATAAACAATGAAAATGTCATCAATTTTAATATATTTATTTATTTGTAATACACAGATCTCTATATAATTTTTAATTTAATTAAGTCATATGTAATTTACAGTATTATTATGTAATTTATTTACTCTAATTAATCGAACAAAACATTAATTAAATTTATAAAATATTTTTATTTTTAAATTAATTACAGAATTTTATATATAACATAAGTCAATAGAATGTTAAATAATTATAACTTATAATTTATAAGTGTAACAAAATAAAAAATAAAAATTTTAAAATATTATCTAAAATGAATTCACTTATAATTGATCAAGCTTTGATACATTGTAGTACTGTTTTGTTAATCCTGATAATAATTTTATCAATATTAATTCTTTTGATTATATTTTTAAAATGATACCTCAGGTATCATACCTGTATATACTTGATAATTATAATTATTAAGTAAATAAATATTTAATATATTTATCTTAGCTGCAAATGTGTACACTATACAGTACTAAAATATATTTCTAGCAAATATGTGACAATTTGCCTTGGTAATCCAGGTTTCAGATGGGGTACAAATCTTCAATATATTAAATATATTATATTTGTACCAAAAGTAGGGATTAAATTGATAAGAAATCAATATTAAAATATACTGTAGTTACCAGTAAATAATACAGTACAATGGATACCATTAAAAGCTATATTAAAAACATAAACACATTGTATAAAATGTCATTGATTTTTGAAATAATTTTTTATCCAAATACTGTAGTTGTTTTCCCATAACAGTAAAAGCAACTCTGCACATGCAATTTTTATGACAAATGATTTTGTCTTGATTAAATTAATACAACAATTGTGTAAATTCAAAATAATCACTGTTTTGTTTGCTTTTAATATTATAAATATTTAATCTACCATTCCTGTGGAATGATACAAAAATGGACAGACAGTTAGCACGTGTGACCTGTGCTTTAACATCCCATTCCTTATCTCTCATTATTCAAGTACTGTATTATTATTCTACTTGAAGTTTAATGAAAAATATTAAAATTCATTCAAAACATAACAAATAAGTTATTTTTAAAAACATGTTAAAAAATTAAACAATATTAATTTTGTAGTCAACAAGTGAATTGAAATTAATTTTAATTTCAATCATATAGTAAATATTTATGATTGTATTGTTCCGGTACAGATAAACCATTACTTTTGTTGCCCTAAATTACATCTATTCAATGAATATTGAATTCAATGGTAAGTTTTGTGTGAGAACTTGTGATCAATACTGACTTTACTGCTAAGAGATAATTAGACTCAGGGTCTCATTTTTGAATCCTGTATGTAGTAAATCCTCTCCCTTCCTGAGGTCATGTTATAGTGAAGTTAATTGTCACAATCAATATAATATTAATTATATAATTTGGGGTTAGAGGGTAGGGAGAGTATAGATAGTGGAGTAAAATATACTAGTACAGTATTAATATATTTTTATATAAATGTGACTTTGTTTGCATAAAATAATCTTAAAAATGATGTCAAAAGTGTTTTTATCATTTTTCCACTATTTTCATCCAGATCTGAGTTCAAAGACTAGAAACACTAATCATAACTAATCA